CTACAGTATTGTATGAACGCCTTGGTATTGACTACGCACCAGTCAAGCATGCCTGCCATGTGTTAGTTCATAGTGAACTGTAACAAATCTCAGGAATGACTTGGCATTTTTTGTATTGATACATGAAAGCCATTAAACTGTACTTTAAAGAAACCTAGTTTTTAGTGGGTATGGGCCAGTATGGTGGCATAGATTGTTTCTTTTCTACCTGCTGTGACTTAGCTCTTGTTGATATATACAGATATACACCTGTGTAGATATACCTGATCTATACACCTGAATTGATTAGGGGTGAAACGGTATACCACGGTATTAGTAGAACCGCGGTATTTTGCCTTCGGTCCAGTGTACCGTAATGCAATCCAAAAATTCGGTGTTTTCGTACCGACGTTTTATTAATCATTTTAAACATTTTCTAAAGTCAGCAAGACAGCAACTGCAGAAACCAGATCAGTAGCTAGGTTCTGTTTCTTTTTCAGTTATTTCAAATCAGATGAACAGCGGAACATCGTAACAACTTATAAAAGACAACTTTGTCATAAAGACATGCCATCAGCTGAGTAGTTACGATGTTTGCTGTGATGCAACACATCGCATTATATTGCGTGAGTAAACACTGCCATCCAAAAACGTATGATGTCAGAAAACTCATAATAAAACAATATTCCTCTATTTTATTTTATTTGATTAAATTTAATCCCATTTTCATTCATTAAAATTGTTTACAGTAACATCGGAGAAAACGTGTGTGAAATGGCATCCCCTCATTCTATACGAGTACCACTTCCGCTTACCTTGTTCATAAGGGTCCGCTTTTCGCGCCCACCGCGATAGCACCAATTTCACATTATTCTCAGTAATCAGGAACAGATTACTGCCTTGCCTTGTCATCCATTCACCCAAAGATCCACGTTATTGACTCATTGAAGTCATATTTCACTATTTATGGCCAACATTTTGTTTTTACAATCAAAGTGGCAGGTACCGCGGGAAGTCAATGGTGATTTGTCAGACTGTCTCATGAGTAAAATGTATCCACGTAACCCAAAGTGCTGAACCTATGTTAATTACTATGTTAAATATGTTCGTAGAAAACATGCATAATACTAATACCACAGTGATATATATTATCTCTGTTAAAATAACTGCTTGAGATATAAATTATTCTGGTAATGGAATAGAAACTCTTTCATGTTATATTTTCAGATCGTTTTTAACTGAATCACCGGTAGATTGGAGCAAAACATTTGTACACAGCTGATTGCTATTTCCGGCTTAGTTGAATAACAGATAGCATAACAGGAAGGACAACTGAATTATCATGTCTAGTGATGTTGAATTTGATTGCAGGTTTCCAATACACATATTATTTTCATTTACAAAGTTTGTTTTTTCACCTCTGATGATACGATATAGCTTTGACTGCAATACACGCAATAGCAGTTCTGTTATGTCCATGGAAATATAGTTTGACTTGGCCTTTATTCCCGGTTAGTAGTTATGTATAACGCTGGTGTCTCATAACTCGGGGGATCAATCCATGGACCCGAAGTCTGGCGTTATGGTGAGGGATAACAGCAATTATGGGTATGGATCTGGTGGCTTCCCATCCCAGTTCTCACCAACTCATTATAAGCTATATCAGAACAATGAACATTTAACGACCAATAAAAAGAGAAATCAGCATTCTCAAGGTAAAACATGTTTGTTTCAGAAATACATTTCTGAGTGAACTTTAAAAGATATTTTGAATGAATCTGAAAACTGAATAAAGCAAATTTCTTGAATGTGCCAAGATTGTGTAGCAGTACTTCCCAATGACTGAGGAAAGTCTCTAAATGTTTAACCGACTGAAACGAGAGATAGACAATGATTGATTTAGACCAAGGACAATGATCAGCCACACAGTCTTATGACCACGGTGTTGTGTTAATTTGTTTGATTTATTTATCTATGATATGTCATCAACAATCACATTCAACAAGATCTGATTTGTGTGTTATTGTTTTTGGTTTTTCACTGCAGTAAATGCTGATGGGATGTTACTGACTTTAAATCATACTTGGCTACTTGCTATTTTGCCACACAGACGCTATGAGCTCCAAGGTTCCAGTTAATTCTTCTATCTTGTCATGAAATGACAGTTTTGTTCATTCAAAATAACAAAGATTATGGTTATTTCTTTCTATGTTATTAAACAATGTAAGGTTTGGCTCTTGTTATCAATTTTCTGCATTACAATCATATCTCATATACCGAACCGAAACGGACCGAACCGAAGTTCTTGTACCGCAATACGTACCGTACCGTGGTAAGAGCGTACCATTTCACCCCTAGCATTGATATATTTGATATACACCTGAGTAGACATATGACATCGACACACCTGACATGTACACCTGACTAGATATGACTTATACCACTAGGGTATGTTATGTCCATTGTTCTGGCAGGTTGATTTTCTGTGTATCAACCTTCTATCTGCATGTGCAGAGGTTGATATGTGGATAACAACCATGACGGTGCAGGAAAAGCACGTGCAACAAGCAATGGACGAGTCCATTTGGCGCCCACGTGGTGTAAGTAGGTTAGCAAAAACACACACTCCACCCCCAACCCCGTGCGGGTGATATGGATACAACGCTCTCACCTGACGGCTCGAGCATTGAAATCCATATCACCCTTGAGGAGGGTGCCAACGTATACGTACACACCTGCTATATATTCCTGACATGTACACTGATAAAATTATTGGATATATACACTTCCATAGATGTAATTGTTATATACAACTTTCCCATAGATATACCTGATATATCCACTCCCATAGATATATCGTGTTATATACACTTTCCCATAGATATACCTGATACATACACTTCCATCGATATACTTGTTATATATGCTTACATAGATATACCTGATATGTACACTTCCATAGATATACGTGTTATATACACTTCCATAGACATACCTGATATATATACTTCAATGGATATACTTGATATATACACTTCCATACATATACCTGATATATACACTTTACATAGATATAATAATATATACACTTTACATAGATATAAATGATATATACACTTCCATAAATATAACTGATATATGCACTTACATAGATATGCCTGATATATACACGTACATAGATATAAATGATATATACACTTACATAGATATAAATGATAAATACACTTCCATAAATATAACTGATATATGCACTTACATAGATATACCTGATATAAACACTACCATAGATATACCTGATATATACACTTTACATAGATATAAATGATATATACACTTTACATAGATATAAATGATAAATACACTTCCATAAATATAACTGATATATGCACTTACATAGATATAAATGATATATACACTTACATAGATATAAATGATATATACACTTTACATAGATATACCTGATATATACACTTACATAGGTATAAATGATATATAAACTTATATAGATATAAATGATATATACACTTACATAGATATAAATGATATGTACACTTTACATAGATATACCTGATATATACACTTACATAGATATAAATGATATATAAACTTATAGATATAAATGATATATACACTTACATAGATATAAATTATATATACACTTACATGTAAATGATATATACACTTCCATAAATATACCTGATATATACACTTACATAGATAGAAATGATATATACACTTCCATACATATACCTGATATAAACACTACCATAGATATACCTGATATATACACTTTACATAGATATACCTGATATATACACTTCCATAGATATATGTTATATACACTTGCATGGATATACCTGATATATACACTTCCATAGATATACCTGATATATACACTTCCATAGATATACCCGGTATGTTATATACACTTGCATGGATATACCTGATATATACACTTCCATAGATATATGTGTTATATACACTTGCATGGATATACCTGATATATACACTTCCATGGATACACTTGCATGAATATACCTGATATATATACTTCAGTGGATAAACCTGATATAGATATAAATTATATGTACACCTGGTACACCTGAGATAAGTCTGCATATGTCTGTGTCCCAGATACATATAACATGTGAGATCATAGGCTCAGGTGAAAAGTATAATGTACATGATGTTTTCAATAGACAGATGTTAAAGGGTGCATGTCATTTGGTAGGTGAGGCAGGTAATTGTTTTTACAAACAAGCTCTAGATTCAGATTTCTATGTCAACTAGCACTGGTTCTCCCTGTGACAACTGTATCCATCTTGTCTACCACAGTTGCCTTCAGCACGTTGGCCACTAAGCTGTTGATTGATTTTGGTTGGCCTGTCTCACAGACCCTGATCCATATTTGTTTTCCTTCCATCCAGGCTTTTCTGTAATGCAATAACCCTGAATCCAGCAAGTCTAGATTGTCCCCAGGTTCTGAATCTCCCACCTGGTGCCTTTTCAGCTTAAATGGAGTTTTTGTTTCTGTCAAAATTATGTATATTCAGAGAATTAAACATTAGTCTGATTTGAGTGAACATTTTTGGTTCTGCAAACTCAGCAGAATATATCTCAGCAGTTATATCAGAATGTACTACAAAATTTACAAGCACAGCTTTCTAAATCACTAAATCAATTTGAAAACATTTATCCTCTTACAATCGACCTTGTAAAGAAATAATTTTACATTATCTAGAAGTTTCAGGTTTGGGGGCAGATACAGAAAGATCCGATACAGATGTTCTTGTACATGATCTGTACAAACTTTACAGTTAATGTTGCACATGTTAAGATGGTGATTCCTGAATGTGACAAGATGTGATCATGTGATCTTTCTATTCATGGCTATGCAGTGCCTTTGAAGTCAACACGTGTGATGAGGATTAGATTTTGCAGCAGAAAACCTCAAACAAACAAAGCCCATAATAATTTTTTCTCCAATTTCTTATCACTATATTACTATCTTTCGTCTTCAGGCACTCCAGACGTCAACGCTACATTCGTGGTTCACATGGTGCATCATCCTGTTTTGGCGCCTCCTCCAAGGGCAGCAACTCTTACAGTACCTCGTGGTAGCTGTATGTATAGATAAAATATGGGTAAGGAGAAATGTTTTTCTTTTGTTTTGCCAAAAGATTATTCATGAGATCATCCAACAGAAATCTCACTTTGTGTATCGTAGGCCATGATGTACACATGATCTTGTATGTTATCGGTTACACACATGTGACCTTCAGGCTCTCCTCCCACATGAACCGACATACCACGACTTAACTATAACTGACATAGCATCACATGACCACACCCACGACGACATAACTGACCGCGACATACTGACCATGACATAACTGACATACCACGACATAACTGACATAGCATCACATAACTGACATACCAACCGACATAACTGACATACCACGACATAACTGACATACCACGACATAACTGACATAGCATCACATAACTGACATACCACGACATAACTGACACACCATGACATAACTGACATGACATGACATATCACGACATAACTGACAGCATGACATAACTGACATACCACGACATAACTGACACAACATGACATACCACATAACTGACATAGCGCGACATAACTGACATACTGACATACGACTTAACTGACACACCATGACATAACACATAACTGACATACCATGACATAACTGACATAGCATCACATAACTGACATAGCATGACATAACTGACATATCACGACATAACTGACATACATGACATAACACGACATAGCATGACATAACTGACATAGCATCACATAACTGACATACCATGACATAACTGACATAGCATCACATAACTGACATACCACGACATAACTGACATAGCATCACATTACTGACATACCACCGACATAACTGACATAGCATCACATAACTGACATACCACGACATAACTGACATAGCATCACATAACTGACATACCACCACGCGACATAACTGACACCATGAAATAACTGACATGACTGACATATCACGACATAACTGACAGCATGACATAACTGACATACCATGACATATCATGACATAACTGACATGACAGCGCGACATAACTGACATACCTATTATTAACTGACGTAGCATGACATAACTGATATACCACGACATAACTGACACACCATGACATAACTGACATACCACGACATAACTGACATACCATGACATACCATCGTCATATGAGCGAAATATTCTCAAGCACGACGTAAAACCCAATTTCACCTCACCTCACCTCACCTCACTCTCACCTCACTCTCACCTCACTCTCACTCTGTCAAGGGAGGTCGTGACTCAAGCAGGACAACTTCAAAAGACAATCTGTAAATGCAAATCTCCTGATTTGAACAGTAATTGTATTTCTTTTGACCACTCCCACTTGCCACACACTACACACCCAGTGAGGATGAAGACAACATCAAACAGTTGTAGAAGCTGTGTGTGGGGACTGATGTGGTGAGCCATCAATGAATGAGTCAGTCACCAGCTGTTTCATCATGTCATCATCATATAGCTCATTGTTGGCAGTTACAAGAGACCTGATAAAATTTCAGGATGTTTGTACAAACAACCTGAAGAAAGGTTACCAGAATGACTCCAGCCCCACATCAATGGTAGTGAGTGGGTTGGTTTGAATGCTCAGTATCTGTGTCTGTTAGAGGAGTAATGAGATGCTGAGGCAGCGATACGATACATATCCCGGTATTATGGGTGTGATAACTTATATTTCCTCACTTCGTATCCTCTCCCCTGTTGCATGTTAATCATTGGTTTTCAATTATTTGAGGCAGAGAAAATGGGATATTGTAGGAGAGAAACGTAATGGCTTGGAGGCATGGGAAGATTCTGCTTGTATAGCCAGCCAGGAAGTACAACAGAATCTGCTTGAACTGGTTCTTGAACAATTTCCATTATTTCTCATGTTGTTACATCATTATAGCTTCTAATGTAATGTTCTCTGATGTTGTAAATTCATGTATTGTATCATGAGTGTTGTATTGCAATACAGTATTGTGCTGCCATATCGATGTATGGTATCATGAGCCTTGTACTGAGATACAGTATTGTACTGCTATATCAATGTATTTAGGCTCATGACACAATGCATCGATATGGCAGTACAGTACTGTATCTCAATACAAGGCTGATGAATCAATACATTGTTCTTGCAGTACAATACTGTCTTGCCATACCGTTACAGCACTAGTGTCTGTGTGGGCTGTAGGGGGAGTACGACTTAAATTTCACCCACTCATTCACAATGAATCACATGTGAATTCCCTTCTGTACTGTGACCAGAAAGACATGTACTTCTTCGTATAGGACTGGTGCGGATATCTCAAAAACAACTCATGAAAATCTGAATGTAAAAAGGACAATTCCCTAAACACTTGTATACACTATGTGAAGTGACCTGTCACAAGTGTATGGGACACCAGACTGAGGGGATATTACATTTCACTGACCCATGGTGCTTTCTACAATTTCACTTCTGCAATTTCTACAGTTTCTACAATTTCTGCATTTCAACCCATCTTGTAACAAAAGTAGCAACAGGTGCTGTGTAGTCATGCTGTAAATATAAGCCACAACTTTCTGCTGCCCTATTAAAACATAATACACTGTCTGGAAATTGCCAATATTCTGTCTGATAAGTATGCAGAGGAGCTGAAACATTGCATGAATACATGATGGCAAAGCTTTCAGCTGAACTTGTCTGTTGCCCTACTGCACTGCCAGTTGAATGAGATCCCAACCAGTCATTATTAACATGCAGTTATTACTGGTAACTAATTTGATGTATTTCAGAGAATCCCTGACTATTCTGTGAAGAGAGTAATAGACTGGTCAGGTCTCATATTGCATGGAAACACTGAACAATGTGCCCTTGTTCATGTTGCTGAGAGATATGTGTCAGTGTTTAGTAAGTCGTGTGTGAGGTTCTCATTGTTGACTTGTATCGGAATGCTGTTTGAATGTTTCTGGGTATGGAGGTATCAGCAGTATGGGAAGTATGTACCAAACGTCTGCCATATCATGTACAGCAAGCAGATATACAGGAGTTATGACTCAATTTGGAGTCATGATATACAGAGTCATTATGACTGTTTTGTGCAACGATGCACAGACATTATTACTACTGGCATATATATCTTGTTATGATATACAGAGTCATTATGACTGTTATGTGCAATGATGCACAGACATTATTACTACTGGCATATGTATCTTGTTATGATATACAGAGTCATTATGACTGTTATGTCCAATGATACACAGACATTATTACTATATATATATCTTGTTATGATATACAGAGTCATTATGACTGTTATGTCCAATGATACACAGACATTATACCGGTATATATATCTTTATTTATGATTACATTATACTACTGGCATATGTATCTTGTTATGATATACGGGGTCATTATGACTACTTTTATATAGTGTGTAATGTACATACTACCATTATGACTGCATGTGTTACGATACATACTTTCATGATTACTTTATAGTGTTTTATTATACATACTATTATTATGACCATAGTGTGTTATGATACATTGGGACATTATAACAATATGGCATTCTGATATACAAGTTCAAGATGACTCTATACATGATATACAGTGTAATGATATACACAGACGTAATGACTCTATTCATATATACAGTAATACTACTCACACTTTGCTAAGGATCACAAAAAGTCACAACTTTACTTAAACATAGATTTTTAATTTGAAATTGTATCCATTTAAAACTGGATAAATAATAATATGGTAACCCCTCTTTAGGCAAACAACCACTTTAATCTAACCTATGCACTTGATACACGAGTAACCATAAAATTGATTTTCATGGCACCAATCAACCATTTTGCAAATCATGGATCAAGTCATTGAGAAATAAACAACACCTGTCAATAGCAGGTATGGGATCCACAAGATGCAGTGACATACTGAAACCTAGGATTCGTGCTTACAATAAGCTTAGATATTTAAACCAAATTTGACCCCACATCAAAGTTTTCTGTTGAATCCATGATTTGATCCTAAGCAAAGTGTGAATAGTATAGTATTGAGTAAACTATACCACAGTGGAGTGTAGACTGTACTTAATGCATGTTGGGTACATGTGTAGTGAAGGGTGTCGCACTGTGAACTGTGGCATTCAGCTGTTTCTGTGTCAACCCAACCTATTTGTGCACATGGAGACACTGTCTTGGATGTGTTAATGGTGTGTTATGAAGGTGAATATTATGCCAAGGTGCCCCTCCCTGGGCAGGTGTGATCTGTGTCCTGTTGTCATCTAGTGATAAGTACTCGTAATGAGGAGGCTGGCTTATTGTCCCTTGTGCTATCAGTTGACAGGACATGCGGCCGACATGACTCACGGATATGGCATTAGAGCGGAATATCCCATTATAACGTTATTTGTGGCGAATGGATCATACAGTTTGGTGTCCTTTTAACCATTTGTGTGGATTGTTTTACCATTTGTTTCATGTTTAATTTCCATAAAGAGCCATAAAGGTGCTAAATGTGTTTTCATAATGATGAGAGAGACCAGCAGTGGTGTGATCAAGGGGAAGGGTCTCCATCGTGGATGTAGACAGACTTGTTTCAACAGGTATCTGTGTCACGGGATGTCTTTTTATCTCTTGGTTGATTGCTGTTTATTTGGTCTTTTCATTTCCTGGTGCATTTCCTGGAAATTGTGGAAGCCTGTGGAGGAATCCTATTAACAACATCATTTAAACTAGTACCTTGACGGAACCACACTGGTCTTTATGGGTTGTTATGAGTAGTCCTGATAGGTTCAATACGCTGGAGAGAAGACATTTCATTGGACATGACCCTTACCTGGCAGCATACCTGAAACCTGTGGTCATGGGTTTGAATCCCGGTTTAAACCGATTATGTTTCTAGGTTAGTCAGCAGCATACCCACATACCTGTGCTTGTTGGGTTGACAAGAGAAGTAGCTTGTATGGCTGGTATCACGTAAGTCTTATCTCCCTTTTCACACTGAGACGTAGTGATATTACCAACATACGACCCCATTTGCTCCAACGTGGAGTCAGGTTACTGTCATGTTCTTAACAAGAAAGTTTAAAGTCCGCCACCACCACCCCACACCCCTCATCTCGCACACCCCACCCCACACCCCTCATCTCGCACACCCCCACCCCCCTCATCTCACACACATTCTCACAGCACACCATCTCATGCACATAGTCATGCATGCACACATGCATGGGTGACTGGCAGCAGCCATATAACAGACATGTGATGAGTTTCTTTTCTTTTATCAAGTTTAGAAAGACATTGTCAAACAATACCGACATCTGTAGTTCATCATTATTGGGTGACCACTTTAACTGTACTCGGGGTAGCTAAATTGTTTACATTTTGTCTTTTGCCAGTAATCGCGACCATGTTGTTTACAGTTTTTTCTTACATTGCTGTTCCTGTTGTTTATCCTGTCTAAGGGTTCAACTTATAGTGTTTCTATTTATCTACCACTTCGATATTTTGTTTCAGTCTTGAGGTCAGGTGTTGCAGTTTAGTGTATGTGTTGTGATTCTGATGTGTTTGTATGTGTCATGAAGCTGGTTGGCTGTCTTCACACCTTGCTCATTGTGTACAACAGTCAGACAGTGTGTAAACCATTTGAAGGTGCATTAGTATATACTATATTAACAATTTTGTGTTATTTGCTTTCAGGAATTCATCAATTTTGTGCAGTACCTCGGATATGTAGTCATCATTTCCTTAGCCCTTGCATCCTATGCCTATATACAATATGTAAGTACCAATTGTATCCCTTGCCTACAATACATAATTATGACTTTGATCCAACACTTTCACACAGTACTTAAGTACCACTCACATCCCATGCTAACGTACAGTACGTAAGTACCACTTAGATCCAATGCTTATGTACAGTATATAAGTATGACTTTGATCCAACACTTTCATAGACTACATCGGTACCACTTGTATCCCATACAACCAATACATAAGTATGGCTTGTATCCCACACTTTCATAGACTACATCGGTACCACTTGTATCCCATACAACCAATACATAAGTATGGCTTGTATCCCACACTTTCATAGACCACAGTACATGGTAGCACTTGTATCCCATACAACCAATACATAAGTATGGCTTGTATCCCACACTTTCATAGACTACATCGGTACCACTTGTATCCCATACAACCAATACATAAGTATGGCTTGTATCCCACACTTTCATAGACTACATCGGTACCACTTGTATCCCATACAACCAATACATAAGTATGGCTTGTATCCCACACTTTCATAGACAACATCGGTAGCACTTGTATCCCATACAACCAATACATAAGTATGGCTTGTATCCCACACTTTCATAGACTACATCGGTACCACTTGTATCCCATACAACCAATACATAAGTATGGCTTGTATCCCATACTTTCATAGACTACATCGGTACCACTTGTATCCCATACAACCAATACATAAGTATGGCTTGTATCCCACACTTTCATAGACTACATCGGTACCACTTGTATCCCATACAACCAATACATAAGTATGGCTTGTATCCCATACTTTCATAGACTACATCGGTACCACTTGTATCCCATACAACCAATACATAAGTATGGCTTGTATCCCACACTTTCATAGACTACATCGGGTACCACTTGTATCCCATACAACCAATACATAAGTATGGCTTGTATCCCACACTTTCATAGACTACATCGGTACCACTTGTATCCCATACAACCAATACATAAGTATGGCTTGTATCCCATACTTTCATAGACTACATCGGTACCACTTGTATCCCATACAACCAATACATAAGTATGGCTTGTATCCCACACTTTCATTCCCATACAACCAATACATAAGTATGGCTTTATCCCACACTTTCATAGACTACATCGGTACCACTTGTATCCCATACAACCAATACATAAGTATGGCTTGTATCCCATATATAGACTATGGTACCAGGATTGAACACTTGTATCCCATACAACCAATACATAAGTATGGCTTGTATCCCACACTTTCATAGACTACATCGGTACCACTTGTATCCCATACAACCAATACATAAGTATGGCTTGTATCCCACACTTTCATAGACTACATCGGTACCACTTGTATCCCATACAACCAATACATAAGTATGGCTTGTATCCCATACTTTCATAGACTACATCGGTACCACTTGTATCCCTTACAACCAATACATAAGTAAGGCTTGTATCCCACACTTTCATAGACTACATCGGTACCACTTGTATCCCATACAACCAATACATAAGTATGGCTTGTATCCCACACTTATATACATTACTTGCGTAGACATTTTAGCTCACACTTTTGTATGATACACAAGTAAAACATTTGTTCTACACCTTTATACAAAGTTATATACAGCTTGTAAGATCCATAGATACATAGTGAACACATATATACACATACACGACCACTAACACTAACGTACAATATGTACAAATTATATTCCATACTTAGGTTAATTATATAGGTGAAGCAGAATTACTTAAAGTTAGATATATATTATTTATAAAAACACTGTGTTTAGTTTGAACTTTATCACATATTAATGATATTAAAGGATATTGTAAACACAGAATATCAAGGTCATGTTTTGACCACTTCTCTGGTAATGTTATTGTATCGTTGTCCTTCCAGGTGAAATACCTTCTACACCTCTGACACAAGAACAAACCCAGTAAAGTGTACACGGAACTGGTTGTGGCGCCATGTTGCCCCAGCGCTGGAGGGTTCTAAAACTATACTGTGATAATAGATAGAGGATTGTATCATGACATATTTAATGCTTGGAGCTTAACTTGCATTATATTTGACATGCCACAGATTTGTGGACAGCCCTCTGTAGATGATATGCAGTGGTACATTACATCCAGGCCGCCATCATACACTGTCATGTTGTGTCATGTTCGTTATGGCCAAATAAAAAAATGTTGTGGTTCTAATTACACCTCTTTCAAATTTAGGGTAGGTAGGTCGGATATTTTTTATTTATTTAAAAAAAATTTTTTTTTTAGAAGTAAAGTACGAACTAGTAACATATTTATCAATGTGTATTTGTTTGTTTATTCAATCAAGATTCCAGCCATCATGTCAACTATCTCAATCAGAATAATGGATGTCCGTCGGTGCTGGGAAAAAAACAATGGTATCTGAAAGCTTATTTTATTCATACCACTTTAAAAAAATCCGATTGGCCCCAGAATTCAAGGGTCGGTCGGGTAATCGGAACCACAACATATCTTTTTAGGCCTATCCTCAAGAATTGAAAAGTCGTTTAGTTAAACCAACAGAATTATCTTCAGATGCAATAAAAGATTTTGTGTGAAACATTTAACTGCCGGAAGGTACATTTTGATAAGGTGATACTGTTTGCTACCTTCTAGTTCATGTATACATTTGGGAGCAGTGATATATCCAGTAAATGGATATCTACTTGACAACATCCATGGAGGGGCAGTCCGCGACAAACTGGGCCATGTCAGGGGCGTAGCTACCATTGTAAAAAAGCCAGGGCTTGCACATGATTGTTGCTAAAAAGGCTGGGCAAACCCTCAATACTATCTAAATAAAGCTTTGCAACCTATCGGGTTTACATGAAAAGAATTGGCTTGCTAAGAGCCTGCTTGTAACACTTGTGTCCTTGCCTCATTAATTATTTTATTGTCGGATCAACTTGAGCGTGCAAATAGATACGTTTGAATGTCTGCGATGTGTTCAAATTCTACCGAGAGTCATAATATGGTGAATGTGATCAGGGAGTTCTTTGTTTCAGTGATAACATCAGTCTTTAAGCATAATGGGGATATGTTTACAGGTATCCGTGAGACAAAACAACAGGGATTTAGTACAATCACAGCACTGGCTCTACAGACAGCAGCTTTTTGAATGTAGAAATAGAGCTTTTCCATGAGGCTTGCATTTGATCATTAAAGATAGGCTGGTTTGTTACAATAGGAAACTGCTTGAAATAGTAAGTTTGTGACTAAAGTGCTTACCGTTCGCTAGTGCAGAAAAATGTTTATTGCAAAATCCCATCTTGCCTTTGATTGCCGTATACATTTTTGTATTTCATTTGAAATACAAACCAATATTCATGAATAACTATGTATGTGAAGTACAGTAGGGGTAGTTTTACTGTTCATGTGGTAGTTGTATTCATGAAGGATACTTTCACTTGAAAATATCAACATTTTCACATGTATGTTATAATTAGTGTTGGTATTGGCATACAACCTGCGATTTGATAAATCACGATACTAAAATTTTAGTCACGACGATATTGCCAAAGTATTGTGCACTGAAGCTGCGATACAATACGAATCCCGATACAAGAGTGGCAATATGATGTGTATCACGATACTAAAATCGTTAATTCTACCACCAACTATAAAACACCTTAAGATCAAAACAAAACCATTTAAAAGAATTTTGTCAAATTCCGCCTGCATTTTTCAATGTTCAATCGGAAATGAGATAATTAAGTTTATACACGTAAATGTTGATAAAATGCGTTTGACCGTTTCTGACACAAGAATTTCTGAGAAACTTATGAAGGGAAAATAAGTATGCATATATTTTTATCATCAAACAAAAGTAAGTCTTTCTTGACAGGTATCGCGATTCGGCAATATTCAAAGTAAAACATCAATGTATCGTTGCCCATTTGAAGTATCGTATCGGGATATCACGACAATGTAAAACTTTGTATCGATTCACTGTATCTGCGGCTCATGGATCGATGCATATCGATGAATCGTCACACCACTAGTTATAATGTGCATCAGTCTGCGGGCATGATGCAAGGGTTACCCTGTTAACGTCCAGCTGTGGCATGGGCACACATTCACACCTGCAATATATAGAATTTCTCATAATCATCGTCAGATTTGGTATAATCGTGTATAAGTGACACTCCAACTGAAGCTTCCAATGAAACTATGCATAGTCTGGGAGAATCCACCATGTGTTTGACCTTGACCTCTTGACATTGGGATCAGTGTCAGGACAAATAAGTTGGTCAGGCGCCTCATGCTGTCTGCCAGGTTACGGAGCCGATATGAAGAGTGACAGTCATGTCATGTCATTTGTAACGCTACAAGTTAAGCCCTTTTTGTCACATGACCAACACTTGAATCATGGGAAGTGACTCCTCCATTTTGATCATTGCCATTCCATTTGTTTCATTTCATTGTTTTTGATTACTTGTGAAGGGGCCAATTTAATGGGACGTCCCGTGCAGTGATTTTCTGGCTTGTTTACACAATTAATCCACTCATTCCGATGTATAGATGTAAGCGTGTGTATAACCAGCTATAATATGTGGGCTGTCAATGGCTTGGTGGCCATAATCATTAATCTCCTGCCATGATGCCTGCACACTGCTGTAGCCTATGGCTACAAGTGATTTATAGAGCTATAATATTCCCATTGCACTCTTTTTGCTGCACAGTAACCATGCACATAAATATGGTTGTTTATTACTAGTGATTTTTGTTGTGTTATTCAACTTGAAATTCTCAGTGATGCTATTTACATGCAATGATAAAAACAATGTATTTTTAATTTGTTTGTGACATTTGTCTCCCTTTTTGCACCAGGATGTACAGACCAAGTGTGTCAGTTGTGTAAACTTGAGCTTATAAGGGCAGGTAAGAATGATGTGGTGGGTGGCTGAGACGTGTTACCCTGGTCTCTTGCCACCCATTTGCCCAGTCTCTCTCACTATGGTCTGGTCACAGACTGGTCTGCTGTAGCCTGGATGTCCTGAATGGCATGACATTTCCAGACGACTGTACTGTCATCAGACATACCCAAACATGGTTCTTGTCAAACATTGTTCGATGTGTTAAGTTTATGTCAGATATTGACAGTCTTTGACCTGTTAAGTTTATGTGAAAAATTATCATTTTTGCTTTTTGACAGCAGCTGTTCAGAACTGATGTAAATGTAATCCTGTAAATCTAGATCACAACCACCTCCCAACCAGTTGAAAGTGTGTCTTGATTAACAAGTTGATGAGATTAATAGGGTTTCACTCTATTGAGGAGGCAGTTCAGGATATGGTTTCCCCAATGTGATCTAGCCCTGTCATTCATTCACATGTACACATATCAAGGGGACTTCGATAACATTTGCTGCCCTTTTGATCAATGACAGCTGCTGGCAAGAACTGATGCAAACAGCGGTTGAAAAGGGCAATCAGAGCTCCAGATAAGGGCCGCATCGGCGTACGTGCGGATAAAAAATGCACGATACGGTAGGAAATAATTTAGAAAACGTAGCAGATACGCACCACAGCAATGGTGTACGGTCTTAGAATCATTTACAGACGTATGAATCTGAAAAAAAGTATTGTTTTATTGTTTATTAAGAGTAGCAATGTTGTGGTGCATATATGAATTGAAACACAAGATTACTGATAGTCCATTAGCTTCAATTCAGTACTCTAAATGTACACTTAAGGTTTTCCAGTACTCAATATTGAACAAATAAGGAGTACTTACTCCTGATGTTGAAAAATTATCTGGAGCCCTGGGCAATGGTATTTTGATTTTTTAATGTTTTGTTTCTGACAATCCCAGGATTACCTTGTGGGCTCTGTCAGCATTAGTGTTAATAGCTGAATGCAATAAATGTTTGTTCTTCCTCCATTGCATAACCACATCCACAACATCCACACCCATAACAACATCCACATCCTTTACCTGGACCCCAGCCATACACACATAATTAGTGCTACTCCCTAGCCAGTATCCACGCCAACAGACTCGCCCACACCCACAGACTCCTAGCCCACCACACATCCTAAACCACCTCAAACCTATAACCACAACCACAGCCATGGCTCCATCCCTCATGACAACACCACAACCACAGCCATGGCTCCATCCCTCATGACTACACCAGAACCCAGACCAACATCCATCTCGTGTATGTGCAACGGGCAAACTTGTTTGTACTGTGCTTCCAGATAATTTGTGTGCCTTTCAGACTATTTTCAAAACTGTTTCAAGGTTGTACATGTTTCAAATACCAAATAAACATTTACCTCCCTTTCATTGGAGTAAGTGCCAAAGAAGGTGGTCCAGCGAGGGTTGTGATCCCAAGGATGTTGACTGGGCTTATTCACAAGAGCTTGAAGCATCAGTGTTTTCCTACAAAGTATAACTCTGGTTGAATAGGGTCTGTTGTAAAACTGGCTACATTTGGCGGCCCAGTCGTCTCAGGTGCTGCCATTAAGGTTGCTGAACTGCTCCCATGGGTGTGCCAGATACCGATGATGATCATGGGTTCGTATCTGGTTTGCCCTGATTGTTTCAGGATTTGTCAGCACCAAACCCATTCTGATGGGTTTCATCATTGCTTCGGTTTTCCTCCCATACCAAGCAGACCATATATTACTGAAATATTTTTTCACTGTAGTGTTAAAGCAGTCACCCTCGCTGGAATGTTATCATACAGACAACTCTTACTCCAAGCCCATGTGAACTTGAGAAGCAAGCTTTGCAATGCTATCTGCACATAACCATATACCGTTGTGTCTTTTTAATAAATATTTATCCCATAACCAAATATATTGATTATTATGTATAATTATGCTGTTATGACTCGTTTGGCCAAATATATATTCTGCGGTATAAGATGTTATTTTATCTATTATCATATTAATATGAATATTGTGAAGTAAGCTGTATTTCCTCCCAACATGAATCGGTATGCTTTGTTAAACTGTGTGACTGACGACTGTGATTGGAATAAAGAGACATCATGCAGAACGTCCCCTTGTTTGTCGTCACTCAAACTGAACTGTGGTCGTTTCCCTTGGTTAGCGTTGCACTAGGGTGATCGTAACAGCAGGGGCGGACGTAACACGCCTTTTTAAACATCGACTTCCGATAGTCGAGACGCTACGGGAGAATGAGTTGATTTTAGCAATATTCTAGCAATATCACGGAGGGGGATACCAGAAATGGGCTTCACACATTGTACCCATGTGGGGAATCGAACCCGGGTCTTCGGCGTGGCTGTGAACGTTAACCACTAGGCTAACCCACAACGACACAACACGATTGGTATGTGGACCGGGCTCTTGTACTCTAAGCGATCTTTGCACTTGGGTGATTGCTCAATACGTTACGACAGAGAACTCCCCTGTTCACTGCCGCACAGACCATTCCGCTAGAGTTCATGATTGTGAGTGAAGGAGTCTGGTTCATCGTGGCCTTGAACGTAGTTACATTTGTCATGCCGTGTGCGCTTTTATGGCGGCAAAAACCTGAAAGTGGACCCAGAAGCACAGATATGGTGCTGAGAAGAAGTGTCGTAACCAAGGAGAACCATACAGTCACAGGATCCTGACTCACCTAAGGGCAGCAAATCTCAATAGTCAATGACGCTGCGTTTCACAACTTGGGACCCTGTGAATACACAGTGACCGACGTCCACTCAGCAATATTCCAGGTATATGGTCGCAGTCTGTGAATAGTCGAGTCTGGACCAGACAATCCAGTCATCAACAGCATAGGCATTAATTGTGATACGATGACATGTATTGGCCAAGTCAGCGAGCCTGACCACCCGATCCCGTTAGTCTGTTACTACAAGCATGGGCTACTGAAGACCAATTCTAACGCGGATCTTCACGGGTCGGGAAAGATGGTTACAACATCTCTTCAGGTAATTCCAAGGTTGGATACGGAAAACGTACCAGGAACATACGTCCTTGGCTGAAAAGTAGGGCTTGTTTTTGACGTAGGTTGACTTGGGGGACCACGTCATCAGGCGCACTGCTCCCTGCATTGGTTGTCCCAGACTCGATCGGCTCATATAGCTTGAATATTGATGAGCTGTCAAATAAGATATCGCGATCGCGAGAATATGATTATATGCTTACAGAAAATCTAGCAGTTAAAAAACCGCGTGATGACGTTCATTATTGTGTGGGGGACACACTTTGTCAGATACCGTTGTCATCACTCATTCACGAGACTTTAATGAATTTTTGATGAACTCCCACAAAGTAAAAATCAATGGAAACGTAATACCCAAACAATTCTGTGTTCATGCAATGATAAAGGCCAGGTGTACTCTCAACCTTATCCGCGGATGTCTAACGGTGGAGTTGAGATTTTGATATGCTGGTCCGACCGTGAGGTTAAAACATATATTTTACTGGCGCTTCGGACTATATTATCGCGTCCTGCAACGATGGTGATCGTGACTGTTGTTCCTGGGGCCTTCCTTCTGTAAGAAACACTTTAATTAGGTCAGTCCTCTTCCACACAGGCTTATAAAGTCAGGCCAGGTACAACACGGTCAGACACTGTTGTCAATCAATCAATGATTATTTCAGTACTGCGATGCCACAGGCCTGTAGTACAATTAATATGTACAATTTTCTTATCATAACTTGATAAACAAAAAAACGCAACATTTTGAATTACAATTTCATGTGAACAATTCAATAGAGAAGGATATTTATCACTTGATGGATGGATAAAATAGAATTCTGTAATATATTTTAGTGCAGCATTATATGCAGCATCTACAGATCTTCTCTTGATATTCATAAACCTACCTTTTTCAAATAATAGATCGTGAGATGAACAACGGAAACAAGCTAAAATATTCTAAATTTCCCAACATTAACATATGATAAATAACGTTCAGTATTAATGTAAGTTTTAAGTCAGACTTGTCATTACTGTCAATGTACAACACAGTCAGACAGTTGTAATCACCAACCATGTACAACACAGTCAGACACTGTTGTCATCACTGTCCATGTACAACACAGTCAGACACTGTTGTCATCACCTCCCATGTACAACACAGTCAGACACTGTTGTCATCACTGTCCATGTACAACACGGTCAGACACTGTTGTCATCACTGTCCATGTACAACACAGCCAGTCACTGTTGTCATCACTGTCCATGTACAACACAGTCAGACACTGTTGTCATCACTGTCCATGTACAACACAGTCAGACACTGTTGTCATCACTGTCCATGTACAACACAGTCAGACACTGTTGTCATCACTGTCCATGTACAACACGGTCAGACACTGTTGTCATCACTGTCCATGTACAACACAGTCAGACACTGTTGTCATCACTGTCCATGTACAACACAGTCAGACACTGTTGTCATCACTGTCCATGTACAACACAGTCAGACACTGTTGTCATCACTGTCCATGTACAACACAGTCAGACACTGTTGTCATCACTGTCCATGTACAACACAGTCAGACACTGTTGTCATCACTGTCCATGTACAACACAGTCAGACACTGTTGTCATCACTGTCCATGTACAACACAGTCAGACACTGTTGTCATCACTGTCCATGTACAACACAGTCAGACACTGTTGTCATCACTGTCCATGTACAACACAGTCAGACACTGTTGTCATCACTGTCCATGTACAACACGGTCAGACACTGTTGTCATCACTGTCCATGTACAACACAGTCAGACACTGTTGTCATCACTGTCCATGTACAACACAGTCAGACACTGTTGTCATCACTGTCCATGTACAACACAGTCAGACACTGTTGTCATGTCCATGTACAACACAGTCCACTGTTGTACATGTACAACAGTCAGACACTGTTGTCATCACTGTCCATGTACAACACAGTCAGACACTGTTGTCATCACCTCCCATGTACAACACAGTCAGACACTGTTGTCATCACTGTCCATGTACAACACGGTCAGACACTGTTGTCATCACTGTCCATGTACAACACAGTCAGACACTGTTGTCATCACTGTCCATGTACAACACAGTCAGACACTGTTGTCATCACTGTCCATGTACAACACAGTCAGACACTGTTGTCATCACTGTCCATGTACAACACAGTCAGACACTGTTGTCATCACTGTCCATGTACAACACAGTCAGACACTGTTGTCATCACTGTCCATGTAGTCAACACTGTTGTCACAGTACAACACGGTCAGACACTGTTGTCATCACTGTCCATGTACAACACAGTCAGACACTGTTGTCATCACTGTCCATGTACAACACAGTCAGACACACATCAGACACTGTTGTCATCACTGTCCATGTACAACACAGTCAGACACTGTTGTCATCACTGTCCATGTACAACACAGTCAGACACTGTTGTCATCACTGTCCATGTACAACACAGTCAGACACTGTTGTCATCACTGTCCATGTACAACACAGTCAGACACTGTTGTCATCACTGTCCATGTACAACACAGTCAGACACTTTTGTCATCACTGTCCATGGTTTCGTTCCTTGAATTTCCTTTCAAGAGCGCCATTCGTCAAGCATATTGTCTTGAAGTCTCCAGCAGCCTTAAAGCATGATTATGCGGCGGAAAAGTCTACCTCACTGTATAAGTGTGTTCGTGAGTGAGTTTCTCCGATCAGCAACCTCATTGATATTCATAGACGTCATCGCAAGCGATAAGCAGATTTCAGCCAACTGGCTTTGGACTTAAACGGCGACGTATATTGCAAACACACAATGGCCCGAACGTATACACAGGGGAAATAACCCCGTCCTGCTAGATGTATATTCCCATACAAAGTAGCCAGGCTGTTTTCTAAAAGTCCGGTATTCCGCAAACACATTTATATTACTTTAAATGGTGACACAGTGATATTGCAAATGCAGAAACGAAATCGATTTTTGTAATGATATATTATGTGTGTGTTCCATGATGATAACTATTGAACAACCCTTTTGTGTTAATCGTCACTGAAAAAATCACCTGATAAAGCAAGCACTGCCTCCTCGGTAACGAAGTTGAGTGAGTGAGTGAGTTTAGTTTTACGCCGCACTCAGCAATATTCCAGCTATACGGCAGCGGTCTGTAAATAATCGAATCTGGACCAGACAATCCAGTGATCAACAGCTTGAGCAGCATAACGCTGAAAGCTTGACAATTAGAAATGATCTGAGTAAGTTGTGAAAATACAGAACTGGTCAAATACAAATATCGACCAGCGTATTGCCAAACATAACACACATGTTTATATACTATGTTCAATCTAACGGGACAAGGTCTCGATCTGAGAAACGATAGTTACGATTATAATACCATATATAGAGATTAGAAATAACGTCTATGTAGAGGAAAATATTTTTAGACTTTGTTACTAATACTCTTCTATACCTTTCCATAACTTGTTTCCAAATTAGTCTGTCCTTGTCATTGAAGGCAATCACCACGTGACAAGGATCTGAGGTACACGGAGAAAACAATCTACCACAACGTCATGGTTCCACGCTTCCATCTTACTAATATATTCCCCCTTGACTCATTTGACGAGTATGCCTTTACACGCTATATAATCTTTTGTGAGAACATCAACACAGATACACCTATAATCCGCAAAACAGTTGTCCCCAAAACAAGTTGAGGGGAGGGGGGTCATATTCTACATGTCCGCTCCCCAGTCCTGGGGGGGGGGGAGAGAATAGGTGGAGCCCTTGTGAAAAATGTTGTTCCAACATCAAGACATTGTTGCCGTAAGATGTTCGTTTTGCCCCGGGGGAAGGGATTAGTAGCGGATATCCCCTGGGGTAGAGAGGATAATAATAGCCATAGTTACCGACCCATTGTTTTGATACATTCAGATCTGGTCACAGTCAGGGAAATAACTTCCTATAATAGCCGAGTCTGTACAGGTATTTTTGTATATGGAATATTGAATTTACCTGAACTGTCTTCAGACACGCTGTATATATCTAGCAGGTGTTTTGGCATGTTGCTGGTCTCAAGTTTGCTGACGAAGTTTCATTGCATCGTTCTTAGCTGCCGTTTTTCGTGTTAAACATCACGTCACACTGTGAAAAGGTTTCAACAAGGCGACGGAATACAACCACACCCACACGTCATCTTTGACAATACAGGGGCGGAGGCAGGATTTTGGAGTAGGGGTGCACGTAAATGATGAAAAAAAACCAAACCCTTCCTCTCCCCCTTCCCCCCACACCACCCCACACACCCTTCCTGGATCCGCCCCTGAATAATGTGCTGAGCAGTAGTGAGTGTATATTGTTTTAGGCCGCTTCCAGCGTGTATTTACTTCCGACATTGTAAGAACAGGAATTGAAAAGGAACACGGGTTTGTCTTCAAGCTTGACAATAATGTAATGATGAGAAATGACATTGTTGTTAAAACATTGTTGTCTGTTTTTAAGCGCATTTTTGCACAGCAGTCGGGGGCATTTGTTACTTGGTGTGGTCAGTAGAAGTATAGGCTGTATCACAGTTGCTGCAGCATCCTCGTGTCTGGGTTTAGAATACAGACAATCACGGAACATCAAGAGGCATAAAATTTGAATATATGAATCGGATATTAAGTTTAACCGCCTGAAGCGGTCGTAACCGTCTCTTTCATTGACGTTTACCTGGCGTTTACCTGACATTACCTGTCCACTATATTGCATGGGTTTCTTTCATCTATCGCCGCCAGGTATAACAGTTTCAGCGATGCGGGATTCTGTCACAGTGAGGACTCGGCGGTGATAAAACATTCACAGACAGCAGTCGCCGACTTTTATATCATGTATTGTACGGGGGTGATGGTTAGGCCTTCAACATGGCTGAGGTCTGGCGCTCGGCCCCTCGCGACGGAAGGTAGTACGAATGCTACTATCACTGTTTTCGTTACTGAAAACACTACCTTTGAAGTATGAGACAATTTAAAAAAACCTTCCTACAACACGAACAACAAAAGAAATCCGAATTAATCCGTTTGCAGAGGGGATGGGAGTTGATTTAGAGGATGTAACGGTTTAAAGTTGGCAATGTCTGAAGCGCGGGCTTGTAGCAAGATAGCCATATCTTGAAAAATACGGTGGAATTTACTGAGGTCGCACATTCTGTCCCCCGGTATGCTGCAGAGAAAACGCAAATAATGAAAAAGTGCGATTGTTGCTCCGGGTTATTTGAGCAGTGTCGACGGTAAAATCGATAGGTGAGCGTTTGTTTCGCACCTGGGGATAGATACACCGTACTCGGCGATACACTGCTTGTTTTCATGACGTCAGTCACGTGACCCAGGTAGACTCGTGGCTCGTGAGTTGAATGTGTGTTGTGAGTGAAAGCTGCGGAGAGTCTGACAGTCGGGCAGACCACGCCCCTCCCAACAGCTGGGTGTCTTACCGTGACACCGGTGTGTGGTGTGTGACAGGGACAAGCACGTCGTCGTCGACACAGCGCTGCTGAGACAAGGGGACCGATTGTGTTGGATGTACCGGCAGTTTGGTGAGGTGTAATGAATCATTGATAATTCTCTTGGAATAAGATAATCCCTGTTTTACTGTGTGCGTTAATGGGCGATGTCCCGAGTGCTTAACCAACAGTCCGAGCAAGCCATGCGAGGGCCGCTGGAGATGTGTAACGGGGTGGAACCCCACCCCCTAGTTTAGGGCCCCGGGGGTTAGAGCAGCATCGACCACCACAGTTCCACTCGGAGATTATGGGCAAGGCAGCGTCCGCCATAGAAAGGAGACTGAATGATGGACAGTTTAGGTTGACAAATGGGAGAAAATTAGACTCGGATCCGATTTTCGCCGGGAGGAGGGATGTGAGGGACCCTTCCACCCTCCAGGAGCGCCAGATCGTCAGCCCCAGGGGCACCGTCAGAGGATACCGTAACCGGGTGAGGGCCGGGATTGCCACCTTCCTCGAACCCATCTGTGATAAGGTGAGCTAAAACTTGCTACTTTACGAGGAAGCCTTATTGTGGTGTCGGTCTACTACTAAAAGTACGTTCTCTTTTTCAGAGAATATTTGATTTCAGATTTTAACGTTTTGGATTGTTTTGCAGATACTCACAGTTTTCTTTTTGCCTTTATCATATTTGTTTTATGCGATGACTTATTCGTACATATCTTTTGAGTTACAGGTTGTTTCTAAACTTTAATTGACGTCAAACTGATTCGTTTAGTTCATCGATGTTTTTGCATAGGTAAGCGTCGTTAAAACAAAGTCGTATTATTGTCGAATTAAGTACTATTGTCGAATTTAAAACAGATGTTTAATTCTTTCACGTCAAAACAGATTCGGGTAGTTCAGCAACGTTAAGGATGTTTCGTATAGACCTTAGGTGTTATATTTGTGTCGTATGATCAATTGACGTTAAAATTGATTCCTATAACTTATTGATTTAAACTATCTTTTGTATAATTCACCGACGATTGTATAATTATGCGAAGTAATAATTTGAGTCGCGTAGATCATTTACAAACTGTATATATAGATTATCGAAGTTTGAAATGTTTAACATATATCACGGACGTTAAACATGTTGTAACAGTTCTATCACGACTGTTTGGTGAAGCTGATCCACGTTTGACTTCTGTTGTTGAGTTCCGGGGTCTGTATGTCTGACGGCAGTGTCGCCCCGAGGCCGACTGTGTTGGTTCTGTGTCTAGACCTCTTGGAAGGCATCCGTTTCACGTACAGGGTAAAACATTGCAGCATACCTCTAGGTGGCAAGAACTGATTTACAGGGCTGGAGTAACTCCACACAGTGTTCTCACTAAAACCTTAGAAAACAATATACATACCGACTATAGTAGATGGGTAGCTCATGCATCAGTGGCGTGGCGTGGTGGGTGTCGGGGTAGGAGGGTAACGGGTGGGATAGGGTGGGTGGTATTGTTATAGGAGACGTAAGGGTGGCCATTAACAAGCGATGTAAGGTCAGCGTTATTGCTGTGATGACAGTGATATTAACGCCAAGGTGGTGCCCGGGGGATGTGCTAGGGGCACCTGTGGACATTGATTAACACCGCAAGGCGTGGTGACCACGTGGTAATGTCCACCTACTGTTTCTACATCAGCTGGACTGGACTTGTATTTGCTGGCAGTTCAGGAGTTCCGTGGAATGTGATGTTTCTTTAGAGTGTGTTCCTATGGTTTAAACATAATCAACTCATCGCGTCTTGTCACATATGCCTGAATACTTACAGGGTGTCGTCCTATGTGTATGCCTGTACACCATAATATGTGAATACCTAGAAACTACCCCTGTATGTATACCTTCACCCCACCCCACCCTTGTCAATACCTACACACTACCCCCCTTGTCAATACCTACACACTACCCCAATACCTTCAGCCCAGTCCCCACCCTTGTCAATACCTACCCTCACCCCTGAATACCTGTCCTGACACCCCCACCCCTCACCCTTGTCAATACCTACACACTACCCCTGTATGTATACCTTCAGCCCAGTCCCCCACCCTTGTCAATACCTACACTCTACCCTCTGTGTGAATACCTTCACCCTGACACACCCCCCCCCACCCCACACCCTTGTCAATACCTACACACTACACCCTGTATGTATACCTCAGCCCAGCCCACCCTTGTCCCCACACTCTACCCTCTGTGTCAATACCTTCACACTGGACACCCTCTGTATGTATACCCTTGTCACACACCCTGTATGTATACCCCCACCCCACCCTTGTCAATACCTACACTCTACCCTCTGTGTGAATACCTTCACCCTGACACACCCCCACCCCACACCCTTGTCAATACCTACACACTACCCCTGTATGTATACCTTCACACACACACCCCACCCTTGTCAATACCTACACACTACCCCTGTATGTATACCTTCACCCCTCACCCTTGTCAATACCTACAGACTACCCCTGTATGTATACCGTCAGCCCAGTCCCCCACCCTTGTCAATACCTACCCTCTACCCTCTGTGTGAATACCTTCACCCTGACACCCCCACCCCCACCCCACACCCTTGTCAATACCTACACTCTACCCTCTGTGTGAATACCTTCACCCTGACACACACACACACCCCCACCCCACACCCTTGTCAATACCTACACACTACCCCTGTATGTATACCTTCACACACACCCCACCCTTGTCAATACCTACACTCTACCCTCTGTGTGAATACCTTCACCCTGACACACCCCCACCCCACACCCTTGTCAATACCTACACACTACCCCTGTATGTATACCTTCACACACACACCCCACCCTTGTCAATACCTACACTCTACCCTCTGTGTGAAGACCTCCCACCCTGACACCCCACCCCACCCCACACCCTTGTCAATACCTACACACTACCCCTGTATGTATACCTTCACACACACACCCCACCCTTGTCAATACCTACACTCTACCCTCTGTGTGAATACCTTCACCCTGACACCCCACCCCTATCAATACCTACGCTCTACCCTCTATGTGAAGACATCCACACTGCTCTCGGTTGAGTATACTCATCATATTTAGCTTGCAACACACTGAGTTCGCTGATTCTTCACCCTTGGGCAGATCAACACGAATATCACTTCTATTGATCACTAATCCATATGTCGCTGATTTATTGATTTATTGAACAGCGAGACCCGAAAGGTCGGCATTAAAATGAGACGCTCGTTTATGGGCACACCGTATGGTACTGACTCCAGGTGACACACATGCCATCTGACCACTGACCAAACAGTGTTTCTCTGTGTATATGGATTAAAGATGGTATATGCGCTTATAGAGTGTTACAAGGCATATGTCCGCGTCCACCAATGGACTCACATTGTTTGTGGCGATATACCAGTGTCTGACCGATGCTTTGTGAGTCGTGTATGAGGTGAGGTGAAATTGGGTTTAACGTCGTGCTTGAGAATATTTCGCTCATATGACGACGTGCATGCGTGTGTATGTGTATGTGTGGCTGCTTGTACTAGCCCAGACTGAAGCTGGTTTTATAGTGCTAGCCCACTGAGATACCATGCCGCAGCGAAGCATGAATACCCCACTCAGACACATTATACTGACCCCGAGCCGACCAGTCCTTGTTGTACCCATTAATGCCGACCAACAAGTACCATATTTTAACGTCTTTGGTATGACGCGGTCGGGGATCGAACCCGCGACCTTCCGCTCTTCGGGCGGACGCTCTAACCACTACACCACGGAGGCGGTCCCGTCCCTGGTGTACGTGTATGGTACCGTGCTTGGAAGTCACTGGCCAGCACCTATACTTCAGTCTCCACACAGAGGGACAACATCGTTGTACTTGTGGTTCTCTACAGAGGGACAACATCGTTGTATTTGTGGTTCACTACAGAGGGACAACATCGTTGTATTTGTGGTTCACTACAGAGGGACAACATCGTTGTACTTGTAGTTCACTACAGAGGGACAACATCGTTGTATTTGTGGTTCACTACAGAGGGACAACATCGTTGTACTTGTGGTTCACTACAGAAGGACAACATCGTTGTACTTGTGGTTGACTACAGAAATAAATAAATAAGGGAACAGCTGTGTGTGTGTGTGTGTGACGTACCCATATGTACCCCGAACATACCCGGGTGTATTTACGGCACGAAAGGACTCTACTGTTGTATCTTTGGTTCCTGTTCCACATGGCGACCTTAGTACAGGGGTCAAGGAGAAGTTGGACTTAGACCATCTTAGGACTGAGAGTGCTTAGTGAAGCTTGTCCCACAGTGCGATCTGAGAGTCACAACTATCCAGATATATGTTACAGCTGAGCTCGGGTCCAGGAAGCTATCCGTTCGACTAAGCGATCTTATTGTTACTACTATTGTAAGTGTAGCCAAGTCTACAATACGGAAGGAACTACTTCCTGGTCCCATTCACAGCCTACTGCACAATGGACAATGGACACGTCTCGGACAACTGCAGGGTCTCAGGGTAATAACATTAACGTGGCTTTGAAGATCACAGAAGCCAGCCTGTGCTGATCAATCTGCTCCATGTACGTGGTAATAACAGTAACGTGGCTTAGAAGATCACAGAAGCCAGCCTGTGCTGATCAATCTGCTCCATGTACGTGGTAATAACAGTAACGTGGCTTAGAAGATCACGGAACCCAGCCTGTGCTGATCAATCTGCTCCGTGTACGTGGTAATAACAGTAACGTGGCTTAGAAGATCACGGAACCCAGCCTGTGCTGATCAATCTGCTCCATGTACGTGGTAATAACAGTAACGTGGCTTAGAAGATCACAGAACCCAGCCTGTGCTGATCAATCTGCTCCATGTACGTGGTAATAACAGTAACGTGGCTTAGAAGATCACAGAACCCAGCCTGTGCTGATCAATCTGCTCCATGTACGTGGTAATAACAGTAACGTGGCTTAGAAGATCACAGAACCCAGCCTGTGCTGATCAATCTGCTCCATGTACGTGGCGATAGCATCATGTCAACCTTTGAGATTATCTGGGTTAATCTTAATCCCAAGGTCGGAACGTTGAAACGTGGTGCTCGAGTTGTACATTGCGATGTTTCATATTGTCGAAATATATATGGGGCGCTGTTCGTGTCTACCCCCAACAATGGCGCTGAGATTGGAGACTTGTTACTTCTGTCGGTGGGGCGATGTGCAATGTGGAACTTAGTTCACTCACTAACTCAGCCACTCAGTATCATACTGGACAGCGTATAAACACCGCACCTGTAACTCACTCACCCAACATCAACCCAACACACACTCGAAGGCAAGAATTGTATGGATGTCAACTTCTTTATTGTGAAGGGTCATGACGTTTCGAAGTATAATCTTCATCAGGTCTTCACTGCTGCACCTGATGAAGAAGTAAGAACATACTTCGAAACGTCGTGACCCTTCACAATAAAGAAGTTGACATCCATACAATTCTTGCCTTCATGCGTATCACTTCT